TTTGGGTTGGTAGAATTTGGGTTATACTTACTAAGATATTAAATTTGTGATATTGAAATTTAATCATTATAATGAATTCTTCTATATATTTTCCTATAAAAACTAAGTTCATTGTAATTATAAAACTATTTAAAGTTGACCCTCCTTGACATAATTCTTCGCTTCGCCACTGAAAGTGATGTATCTTAATGTTGCATAATTATTTTGGATACAAGCAATATTGGAGGAGAGGGGTATGTGCTCTTAACCACTTAAGCTACAAGCTCTAAACATAAGTATTTTACTATGTAAAATAAAGTTTACTGAGAATGGTAACCATGGGAAAGGGATTCAAGAAATCCATCTAAGCTGGTGAGGTTCTTGCTCTTTAGAAATTGGGAGTACCAATGAGCAGAGAGTTTGGGTTGTCTTTTTAAATCAGGGTCGTCCAAATCCATGTAGTATAGGCCAAAGCTTGATTCATAGCCGCCCAATAGCTCAAGGGAGTCCAAGAAGGACCATATAAAATAGCCTCTGGCATTTGATCCATTCCTTCCAAAAGTAAAGATTTCATATAGCATCCGTCAGTAATTAAGAACAAGTACTAGTTAGTTGTCAAACTATGGTACAAAACAAGAAAAAGCACTTAAGAAAAAAGAAAACAAAGATGATATCAGATAGTAAAAGACTACATAAGTGGTCAACGGTTATAGCCTAGTGAAAAAAGACATTGACTAATGTGTGTGAGAAATCCTTCATTTCTTTGTAATTTAGACTATCGCCTGTATAAAAATAAAATAAAATAAAATACAGACTTCACAAGTGAAACATATCTTACCAATTCTCACTTTGCCTATTTAAACAACAATTTGGGTCTTGACCTAATTAATTTCAATTTTGTTCATGTAATTAATTATTAGTTACAAAATCAGTCATTTCTTTGGTTTCAATTGTCATTTCTTGTTAAAGCAAAGTAGTCTTTTCATATCGAAGGTGGCAATTAAATTTCCCTTGTATGAACACTTTCTTGGGACTCGGATAGCTAGACTTCAAATGGAGAGAATAAGATAAATCTTATGACCCTTGGGTTAAATTATAACTGGCAGAAAATAGGTATACCTTACAGCTTCAAGCAAAGCTTGGATATGTCCCTGCACATATTTTATCCTCGACCTATCCTCCAATGATGAATTGCGTGCAGTTTGTTGACCTAAAATATATAGGATGCCAATA